CCCCCCCCCCTCTCCTTCCGTCGCACTCAGTGCCTGTGGCAGTGAGATTTTCACAGCGATAGAGATCTACTCGCCTAAGTGATCCCTCTCTAAGAATTCACGTTTCCTCCTGAACAACTGTTTGAACGGCAGAGCTAAGGACTCAGCCCCAATCTCTCTGCTTTCACCGTGAAACTCGGTTGTTCCAAGAACCGTGTGCTCTCCCATATAGTGAATTTCTGAGAGCACTGTGGCAATTTCCCATAAGAGCTTAGAACTATTCTTTGCCATCACCCTGAAGAAACTGACTGTATACAAGAGAAGTGTGTGTGATCCCCCCTCCCCCAAACACTTCCCTATTAAAACCATACACTCATTTTAAGATATGTTTAAGAATACAGAAAAAAAATTTATGAATAGTACCAGGATGCTTTTCTTTCCCACTTGAAACAACTAGCGTTTGTCAGGCTTCTATTACTAAAATGTGGCGTGAAATGCTGCCTCAAATCATTTCCCACACACCGCAAACGCGTTTAACTGCATCGTCCATGTGCTCAGGAGGTCTGACTGCCCCTGTAAGCTATCTGTGGTTGCAGATAACTCCCTGGAGTTAAAGTACCATTAATAAATTGTCATCTTCTCGCACTGTTTGAGGACAGTCTGTACCCTGGCCTAAGGGGAAAGGTTCTTAAACTCGGGGGTGTCTGTGAAAAGTGTCACAGTGATTGTTACATACTTGCTTCTCGTGGTGAACATTTCAGGGAGTGAGTGTACAATGTAGAAATCAGTCCTGAAGTACATAACCAAACTAATGTTCTTCCTATAATGCGATTTCAGAATTTGGTCTCCTTATGGAAAACAAAGTGCCGAGGCCCATGGGATACTCTTCCTTCATGGGTTGAGGGCTTTGAGTTTTTTTGTGTTTTTCTTTTTAAACCATAGGAAATCTGTGCAGACATTAAGGGTAGATGGTGCCCTCTTTTGGTTACACCTAGAATTATCTGTTTCCACCTTCCCTTGTGCACTCATAACCTAAAAGAAGAATTTTTTATTTACTCATATTCAAATAAATAAGCATGTGTCTTACTGGTTTTTCTTATTTTAAGAAATAGCTTCCTTTGCTCGTGAAAGGGAGCACTAAGTTACAGCCCCACACCACGGGGGCCCTGCGGTAATTAAGCTTTGATGAGAAAGTTGCCCTGTGTAAAGACTCGTGGGTAAAAGGCCAGACTACTATCTTTTTTTGTTTGTAGTAGGTTATCACCATTTACTTGAGTCAAAATGTTATCGCTTAATCTTCTTCCCTTCCCCACAAAAGCACAAGCATTTCATTTCCTTCACACAGATTGATGATGGCAAGTTCCAGCTGCTTACATTTGGCAAATAGATTTTACCACAATCTGAGAGCTGGCTAGTCAGGCTCACTAGGTAAAGGAAGTTCCTAACTCACTTCATAGAAGACTAGAGCTCTTTATGTGCAGTTTTATAGTCTTTCTTTCTTCCCCAGAAAAGCTAAATGTTAGGCCAACATTAATAGTACCTCTCTTTTCTTTCTGAACTGCACTGCCCAGTAGATCTGTAATTGGACCACAGAACATGGTGGAAACACTGGAAAATCTCAATCTTAATTCTCTCCCTCCCTCTGTCCCTCCCTCTCTCTCTTTCTCTCTCTCTCAGTCGTTACGGGCTCTGATTTTACAAATAAAGTTCTAAGTAAAGTTCATTCAGNCTTTCTCTCTCTCTCAGCCGTTACGGGCTCTGATTTTACAAATAAAGTTCTAAGTAAAGTTCATTCAGCAGAAAATAAGGAAAACACCAAGGTTGAGACATAAAAGCAGACAATAATCGTTGACGATGCTTAATACATCTCAATTTACCAGGCATCATTTATCAGAAATGAAGTAGCTTCTAACCTTATTATAGGTGAGTTATCTTACTTTACCAAATGTGAACATTTGGAAAATATGTTCAAATAGGCCCTTGAATATAAGCTCCTCTATGCTACTTTGATGTGTCTTTCATTCAGTTAGTGCGGCATCCAAATAGAAAACTAAATTCTAATGAACACCCTAGGAGAGTAAATATGCTTTTCTTTATTGATCTACAACAGCCATTTTATTTTTAAATGAAAACAGAGGGGTTTTTTTTTGCTGTTGCTTAAGGACACGAGCATTTCATCCACAAGCAAATGTATGTCAAGTGAACCAAAGGAAATGAAGAAAGATTTGTTTTTTAATTTAATGCATGCAGCTTGGTTACTTTTCCATATGTAACTTTGGAACAAAATTTAATTTTACACACAATTAGTAAAACGGGTATTAATAAGAACCTATCAAAAACCTCAGTTAGTTGAATTAAGTATGGCCCTGTTGTCATACATATGTTTTAAGCATTTAAAATGCAGTTTCAGTATTTAAAAACATTTTTTAAACCTTTGAAAATGGTTTCCTATATTTCTGCTTCCCTTCAAGCAAAGAAAAGTATTTTAAATAAAGGAAAATGTTTGTACTTTAGCAATGGTTACAAAAGCCTTGACAGGTAAAACAGTCTTAAAATTTATATCAATTCCAAAATTGTAGTTTGCTCTACAACCTACTTTTAAAACTCATTTAAAATATAATGATGCCAATGATTTTTCTGCATTTTAATCAAGTTTTTTCTTTTTTCCAGGATTCCCATGGGTTTTTTAAAAATTATTAATGCTTTTATTATAGGGACAATTATTGTAACTAATTGACCAAAGTAGTCTGAGTGATTTTTTTTCAGTAGTGGCTCTGATTCAAACAATTTTTTAGCATGGATTTAAAATGAATATTTTACTGAATGTGTTCATCATATACATAGCAGAGTTTGTGTGACAAGAATGAATTTTTACATACAATTAAACATGATCTTCAATCAGGTCTTCAGTCTCTTTCCTTCTTATTCATTTCCTTCAAAGTGAAGGAGTTCTGATAAGCAACCAAAGGTAGCAATCACAAATGAGTTAGGAGATTGGAATAAAAAAATAGCCTTTGTAGTTAAATTAAACTATTTTTGGTAATGGAACCAGTCCCACTGGATGTATTTAAAGAAGTTCAGAGACACAAAACTGGTCTATGGCTTGTCATAGTTAAGTTTTATTAATCAGAACTACTTGATTGTTTCTCATTTCTAAAACACATAGCTGTCAAAAGCATAGATATGATACCCAAGTAAGCAGTTAACTCAATAAACCTATCATCTAAAATTAAAGACATTGCAGAATATTTCTGCTTTTATAACTGATACTTAATATCTACCTACCTTAGTAGCATTTTTATATTTCTTCTATTAAATTCATATATTTAAGTCATTTTAGCTATAAATTTGTTTCCAATTAATCCAGATCACATGGCATAAGATAGAAATGAAAACAGCAGTGGCCCTGGCTAGGTGGCTCAGTGAGTTGGAGCGTCCTCCCATACCCAGGAGGCTGGAGGTTCAGGTCCAG